ATATGCGTATTAGTGTGCTGTGGGCACCTTGAGAAGTGTTATGGGTCCAAAAATTAGACTCACAACAAACAAATAATTGAACACATGTTTATTTTGGTACTGAAGACCTAAACAATTTTTCTAACATTTCCAAAGACAATCTTCTATGTATTTTGCAGATCAGTTGCTATAAAATATAAAGAAAAGGATACGCACGGGTATTCTAAACAAACTAATACCATATATTCTTCATAAGAAAAATACCATTACGGGATCTTAGTCCCCTTTTAAAAACTGAATACGACGACGTTATTGTACGGTATAATTATAAAAGTTTACAAAGTTATTAGTAATATATTGCGATATATGCAAAATTCCTTAAATAAACGACAGATGGCGTACAATTTTGTGGTGGTGTCACACGAAAAGGGACTAAAGCGATTTTAGTTTTGAATTCGCTGTGTTTCTGCTTCCATATAAACATCTATGTCAAGTAAATTTTGTAGCAATATTTATAAAAACTGCTATGGTCATACATATATTTAAAACCTTTTTATAAAGCATTTGTCATAATAATTCTTTTGTGTTTATAATTTTAACAGATTCACTGCTTAGTTTCTCCAGTTTCTTAGTCATCATTTTTTAATTTTTCTTTACACTTTTCTATACACTTTCTATATAGACTTGACAAATTTGAGAACAGTGTACGCTTTCCTTGTGTGATAAATAATGATTTAATAGTTATCCTCAATATATATACTAAATAATATATAATGAAAAGAATTAGACTCTAAAAATATTCTCATAATTTCTTTTTCTATATATAATACTTCTATGTTTTTTTACTTAAGGTACAGTTAATATTAAAGTACCTAGTTCGAGACTACTCTGAACAATCGGCTTGGTTTCCCGATATGCGAATACCGAAATATTCTCATATATTTTCTTTTTCTATATATAATACTTCTGTTTTTTTTTACTTTAAGTACAGTTAATATTAAAGTAATTCGAGATTACTCTGATTTTTTCTTTGATTTTTGTTTCGTTTAAAAAGTTGGCAATTCCGATTTAATGCCAGTTCGATTGATAATCCTCCATAGTGGTTTGGTTAGTGATACTATAAAAAAGTCAGAGTTTCCAGTTCCATATCAGTTCACAACACTGTTAACTTTTCATTTTTGTCGCATCAATTAAGTGTTTCCATGTAAAATTTAGGAGGAAAATTGCTTTTTCTATTGAAAAGGACTTCAATAAATTCATTAGTCCGTAAAAATTGTTAATCATATATACAGAAAAACAAAACATAAAAACTAATGAATAATGAATTAATGAACTAACAAACGTTACAAACTCAATTGAAATGTACTCGGGGTCAGAATATTCGCAGGAAGGTATCATGAAAACATGTGTGATGGTACGTCACTATCAAATCAAATAAACTGAGATAATATATAATATATAAAAATTGTATAATTTATATATTATTATATTTCATTTATATATAATATAAAAATTTTATATTGTACTTATTATATTGTATTATATTTTATATTAGCACTATCGGTAGTAAGGTACCAGAGGGAATGATGATGTATTGTATTTTAGTATTATTATTATTAGTACTTTTAATTTTTTTTAGTAATTTTATTTTTATTTTTTTTTTTATTTTTTTTTTTATTTTTTTTTTTATTTTTTTTATTGAATAATTGAAAAAATTAGTTTCTATAATTACAAACAATTATCTTGTATATATAAAAAGTCTACGCTTTTTACACAGAGTATTATAGATACCATTCAATATATCATAATTTTGAAAATCATAGGAAAGTAGTTTGTTTAAAGATTTATTATAAAGAACCTAGGATAATATCTCATATCAGAGCTATCAGAATACTATTCAACGTTAGTATAATTGACTGAAAGTGCAAGTTAATGTAACAAGTAGCATATTAAGTTCATCTCCCTCTCTCTTCTTGACTTTTGGCTGTTCTCACACCTTAAAAGATTCTATGGGCACAAATTAGTTTCAGCAATGAAAAGGTAGTAGTTTCTGTGGAGCGGTATTTTATAGCCCTTGCTGCAAGCAACCACAGAGATGAGATCCTTAAAGGAGTGAAGGATTTTAGACACAAATAAAGTTTTTTTTCATTCATTTTTTAAAGAATCTTGTGTAGACGTCATTTCCACGAAATTAAGCCTAATAACACCAAAAAATATTCCTTATTTGTAGTGCTAGTAATCTAACGAATATTGAGTTATTTTAAATTAACTGTTAAAAATTTTATAAATAACCTACATTAATATTTATAAAGATATAACAAACTGCTTAATGGTTTACAATGAACTGTGATAAATTACCTATATTATTTGGTGGAGAGTTTCGAGATATAAAGGTTACACCAAACGAAAAGTGCTATCTCAATAGATTGGACCTCTATACTTTGACAAGAGCGTTAATATCAAACGATTTTAAATATAAGAAAAACTTCCAATTTAAAAAGTATGTGAAGAAATGAAAGACAGTTTCAGATTGACTCCTCCTTACTCTGAGCAAAGAAGATTTTAAAATTTTTATCGGTTTAATGACAAAATGTGCCTTTCAGATATCAGTATATATGAAATGGATGTAAAAACGCCTGAACAGATTCTTCATATGTGCGATAGACTTGTAGATATTTAAAATGTATGGAACAACACAAAACCTTCAAAGATGTTTACATTTATTAAAAATCTATTGATCGGTTAAAGCAACTATGGTTAGCACAATAGATTATTTGAGTCGCGCTGTATAGTATTCTTCACTTAATTAATTATGTTTATAAATGGATTAAGAAATTAAAAAATTTAATAAATTAAAATTAAAAAAAAATTTTCGCAGGGTACAAATTTTTTAATAGAACACATAATATCGTTAATATATTTTTAATAATAAACTTTTGTTTATAATTTATATATACTATTAATATACTAATGTGCTTGTAAGTATAGAGAGGTCAGTTATGGAGAGGTCATACCCGGCATAAAAGTCCATGCGGTTTAGTTTTGTATTGCTTTGCAACAAATTACGCAAAAATTTATTTTTATAAAACTGTCCGGAGCTGCCTACATAATTATACAACAAACAAAACAAAAAAAAAATAAATAAATAAATAAATATAAACTGAAAAAATATGTATATAGTTCAAAATTTTGGCTAGCAAAATAAGAGCACCAAAATAAAACTTTATTGGAGAATGACTCTCAATTAATCTGTGAAAATGTACGACGAAGAGAAAAGTTTGTTTAATGCATTGCACGTCCTATATTTTACTTAATAGTTGTCTTGTATATATTTAATATATTTTTATGGGAGTTTTTTATTTTTTTAAATATATCTACATTTTTAGATGCAAGCTAATATACATTTATGCCGAAATTTACACAAATTTTTTAAACTATAGTAAAATATGGAACGCTTAAAACAGACTCATAGATCTTTTGTTGATTAGATTAAGAAGATTTATATAGCATCCTTGATTCGTGTTATAAGAAATTGGTATTAATTTTTTTAAAATCAATTCACAATAATATGTATTCACCTTTACATAAGATATAATACATTTTATGTGTTGAAGGTGCGTAAATGTTTAAAAATCTATATATAAAACTCATTTTTAAATCAAAATTTTTTTATATGCTCCAAATGTGGTTTTTTCAAAATATATTTTCCAAAAAAAAAAGAAAATTATTTGTTGTTTTCTATTGAAAGATATTGAAATATCTTTATTGTTTTCTAAATTATTTTTTAAATTATAGTTGAGAATCCAAGACTTCATTTAACTTATAGGTTCTTGCAGATTTCTCTAGAACATTAATTTTTTTTTACAATTAGTAATTGTTCTTATTCTATTACATTTGCATATTGGTTAACAATAAGTTCAGAAAGACTAGTTGATTATGTTGAGGCTAGTTGAGTCAGTGCACCTGAGCACTTTTACCCTCGATTAACTGCGAGGTTTCTTCCAAACTTCTATTTGCGCCTTGACTAGATTATTGTTTACCACTTCATCAGACTAAGCTATAATTGACCTCAGATCTGCACACCTTTCCGAGGAGCCTGTAACCATTCTGAGACTTGATAACGCGGATGTTTGTACTATCGTCAGTTTTTTGTTTGTTTTTATTTTATTCAAATAATTATATTTAAATCTTCCGATTTTAAGTTACGTACATATATTAGTTATGAGTGAACTTTAAATTTTAAATAAAAATAAATAGGGTTTACATACTATATTTAATAACAGTAATATTGATTATAAAAATTGTTTTTAAAATTTTTTTTTTTGAATTATTATAAATTGAATTCATTGCCAAACAAAAAAGTAAAAAAAAAAATATTATTTAATATCAAGGAGACAATCGCGAAGGCAATTAATAATTTTGTAACACATTAAATATGATTTTTTTAAAATCTGTGAGCTAGTTCACTACAAAAATAATAAAATTTTAAACAATAAAAGTTTTTTTTTTTTTGAAATCTCACCGAAATTTCGCTCAAAAAGTCTTGCCGTACGGATAAATGAGATAAAAAAATTGCCGTGTCTACACTGATTGCTATTCGTAAAAGACCAGACAGAAGAGTACACGGCCAGTGTGTGAGCATTCTTCGTTTCTTCTGAGTTTTCTGTGCTCAAATAGAAGATTCGTTGATCTTTATATTTAGTATCTATCGACCATCTGCTCGTGTTTAGTGATCACTGCAGAATTTTCGCATTTTCCATTTTCTTTGCCTTGTTGGATTTTGAGTTCATTAAATTAATTTTTCCAACCTAGACAAAAATAATTTTTGGTATGCATTCGTCACTCGAGTGTCTAGTAGTTTTAAAGATTGCTTACTAAAATTAATACATATGTAATATTTAAAAATTCAATATATACTAATTAAAAGTTATAAAATAAAATAATGTAATATATTACATTTAAATATTTTATACAGATAAAACATTTGTTCATTAAAATAAACTTTTTTTTTCTCATTTCAGTTAAATTCATAACCTTGATACGAATATGTTTCAAAATCAGAATTCTGCCAATAATGGCGTCATGGGTGGTGGAGCGACTACACTACCCACCGATACAAATATGGATCCAACACAGCAGCAACAACAAGCACAAAATATAAACTATAATAATATGCAGCAACAGCAACAGCAACAACAACAACAAATGCAAGAACCAAATACAAATAAAAATGTACGTAAAAAACCTTATGTGAAAATAACAGAACAGCCTGCCGGTAAAGCATTACGGTTTCGATATGAATGTGAGGGCCGTTCGGCTGGTTCGATACCTGGCATAAGTTCTACACCAGAAAATAAAACTTTTCCAACTATTGAAATAGTTGGCTATAAGGGACGTGCTGTTGTAGTAGTGTCTTGCGTGACGAAGGACATGCCATATCGGTAAGTTCTTATCGAACATTACAAAGACATAAAAATATATATTTACATTAATATGCATTTATTGTTGCACTCTTAATGTATATAATGCATATATATGTATATATATGTATACATAATTTGTTATAATTTTTAAATTGTAATTCTTTATTTTGTAGTCCACATCCTCATAATTTAGTTGGGAAAGAGGGCTGTAAAAAGGGTGTCTGCACTTTGGAAATTAACAGTGAAACTATGCGTGCCGTTTTTAGTAATTTAGGTATACAATGTGTCAAGAAAAAGGATATTGAGGCAGCGCTTAAGGCACGTGAGGAAATACGCGTTGATCCATTTAAAAGTAAATATTATTATTATTATTAAATATTATTTTTAATAAATTGTCAAATTGTAAATTTGCATTTATTTTTGCCATCTTGCAGCTGGTTTCTCGCATCGTTTTCAACCTTCTAGCATTGACTTAAATTCCGTAAGATTATGTTTTCAAGTATTTATGGAAAGCGAACAGAAAGGACGATTTACACAACCATTACCTCCAGTTGTATCCGAACCTATATATGATAAGAAAGCTATGTCTGATTTAGTTATATGTCGATTATGCAGTTGTTCGGCATCTGTACTGGGTAATACTCAGATTATATTGTTGTGTGAAAAAGTAGCCAAAGAGGATATTGCTGTGAGATTTTTCGAGGAGAAAAACGGACAAGTTTTTTGGGAAGCTTTTGGAGAATTTCAACATGCTGATGTACATAAGCAGACTGCCATTACATTTAAGACACCCAGATATCATACGCTGGATATAACGGAACCCGCTAAGGTAAATATAAATGACAATATGCAAAAAAAAAAAAAATGCGTCTTGAAATTAATAATATATTATAGTGAAAACTCTTGTCCGTATATTTATCATAAGGCAATTTTCGTTTATCTAAGAAGGGTGTTTGGTCAAAAAGGATTAAATTATTCTAAATAATGATAAAAAATATTTCACTTTAGAAAGTTTTTCCGAACATGAGAGATATCTAACCATTCAATATGATTGTTCGTTATAAGAGTTTTCACTGTATACAAATATTTTGTTTTTTTTTAATAACCAGATTATAATATTAAACATTATTTATTAGTTTTCATAAAAATATTTTTTTTTTAGTTGTGTGCTATAATAATTGTTATAAATATTTTTGAATATTATAGGTTAATATTCAGCTAAAGCGACCATCAGACGGTGTTACGAGTGATCCGTTACCATTCGAATATGTGCCGCTCGATTCAGGTAGGCATAGATTCTGGAATTTACGCCAGAATCTAAAAAGAAAAACAGAACCAGAAATTTTTCAAGATATTTTGGCTGTGGCTGGAAAGGCAAAGCAACCAGTAACAGAAGTTATTGATTTGAATACGCCAATCACAGAACAGCAAGGTATTGAGGTATTTAATATTTTAGCAGCAAAAGACATCGATGAAGAGTTAAAACGTCGCACTGAAAATGAAGTTGATGCAATTATTGATGAAAAAGTACGCGAATTTGAATTACAAGATCAAATTCACAAACTACAACAAAAAGATTTGCAACATGATATTCAACAATTAGATATTCAACAATTAGATATGCAACAACAAGTTATGCAACAACAAGTTATGCAACAACAAAATTCACTAGAACAAGATTTACAACAACCGAATATACAACAACCGAATATACAACAACAAATTATGCAGCAACAAGATTTAGAACAAAATATACAACAACATGAATTGCAGCAACAGGAAATTCAAGAACAAGATATTCAGCAACAGCAATTAGCATCTCAATACGCAATGGAATCAATGGAAGCTGATCCATCAAACCAGTTACAACAGCAACAACAGCTTGACCAACAACAAATTCAACAAGCTCAGCAACAATTTTTACAGGAACAATTACAGAAAACTCAACTACAAGAGCCTCAGGATCGTATCGCTGATTGGATGAAATACAGTGATTTAAATTGTACCGATGTCTCCATTATTGAGAATGATTTTCCAATGAGTTCACCAAGTGTATACAATAATGATATGTCACCTTTTGATGACTTTATCAATGACGTTACCGAACTCGATAGCATTGGTGAAGCTCGTACCTATCCAACCGTAGAGAATGAAAGTATTAATGAAATAAATGCTTTAGATGGTGTATTGTCCGGCCCATCTGCTACTTTAGCTGATGAAATGGATACAGAAGATACTTTTGATGATGCTGCTACTTATAGTAGCCTGCAAATTGCTTTCAAGAATCCGATAAATATACCAATGAACGATTTAATGCCACCAACACCTCCAGCTTCACATTTAGCATCAGAAGATTCACAACATTACGATCATGTTGAAGTTATGACAAAATCACCTATATCGACGAATATACTAACAAGTCAAGCGCCACCCAGACCAGCGCCATCTAAACTTACTTCACCACATATGCATGTTACAGCCGCTGAAGAAGAAAAATTACCTCCCCTACCACCTAAACGTGTACGTAAGCAAGATAACACGGAAAATCGTTCATTAGAAGCAAACTCAACAGATACTTTAGATCGGAAATTACGGCAACAAACGCCTATAATAATAATGAAAACCCCAGATCAATCGCCTCCAACAAAACGCCTCCCACCTAAACCTGGTAGTAGTGGTAGTACACAATCGAAACAAAAGAAACCTGGTTTCTTTTCAAAATTATTCTCACGTCGCAAGAGTAAATCCGATCTTAATCAGAATGGTGAACATGTTTCGTTAGCTGGTTCAAGAGGCGGTTCTAAAACAACTAGCCCTAATGCCAGTCGAGAACCAAGTATTGGTCACTTTCAAATGCACGATTCAAAACGTGCATCAATGCGGTCAGTGAAATCTTTGCAACCAACTTCGTCATCTTTACCTACAAGCCCAGCTAAGAATGCATTATATAAAGGCGAAAAAATTGGTAAACCAGTTGGTCGCAGTGTAAGTAGTGTTTCTGGAAAGCGACCGGCACATCTAAATGCAGATGTTATACATATACCACTAAAAGGCGATAGTGTGAATAGTTTACCGCACAATGAGGGTTATTCCAACGCCAGCACAATAACACTTAGTAACCATCTTGATCGTAAAACTGTGTCGGCATTACAATTGGCTGATATACCAATATGTGATGGTAATATGGAGCTGGTGGCTATAGCCGATCGTCAGAGTTTACGCAATTTATGCGAAGGTGCATTTAATGTAAAATTAGATCCTAATGTGGATTTGACAGAGGCAGAACATTTTGCACTCTATACTAGCATACCGCCACAAGCTACCGCTAGTGAGTTCGATGAAGCTTCAGCCTACTATGCAGCTGTGGATGCGGGTGAAATACTGACGCCCGAAGAAATAGCACAACGTTTGGAAGAAGCAAATCGCTTAAATTAAAGTCTTTTAAAATATGTTTACCTATAATATAAACGTTATAGATCATATATTTGGGATATTTTTTGATAACAAAAATACGTTTGTTAACCTTGATTTCATTGCGTATGGATGTTGTTGCTTGTGTGATACGTATTTGTTAAACGTAGTTTTCCTTTATAGTTTAATGAAAATTAAATTTACTACAATCGAATTATGGAGATATATATTAAGATAACGCAGCTACAGAAGAGTAACAAAATTATTTTTCGGTGGAATTTTATATAATATTTTATAGATACATTGATTGGGCCATTGTATAGAAAAAGTAATGAGGCTAATTAATACCTGATGAGATGCAATTTTGTTACGTCGCTCAAAGCGCATTGATGAATATAAAATATAATGAACATATTAGAAAAACTATTAAAAGGAAAGAAATTGTTGTATCTATCAAAATAATGAGAATAATTTAACAAGATTTTTTAAATATAAATTATATTTGTTGTTATTTGTTTTGCTCTTATAATGCAAAACCGTAAATGATAAAATATATAAATGATTGTTATTCTATAAATCTTTTATAGAAAATTTTGTATTTGTTAAGATGCTTAATGCTCACTTGGTTGAAACAGCTAGAAAATAGCTCAACAAATCAAATTTTTATAACCCAAATTGGGATTGGATATTTTGTAATTTGTATCATTGTCTATAGAAAAAAAATGTATAACATTTTGAAAATTTGGAACGAGATGTTTACTTAACAACTCAAAATTGTTTTCAATTATCGGTGGGGTAATGTAGATATTTTCCTAAAATTTTCTACGAACATAAAATAATATTTTACCTTACCGTTTTAAAGTGCTTTTTTTTAATAAAATAAAAAATTTAGCCGAAATAATTAAAAAAAAAAAAATTAATAATACATATTTGTTAGAAATATTTATATAAATAACGAAAAAAACCATTTGTAATATGAATATAAACAAATTCAAATGTTATAAGATAGTTTTAAGATAATTTTGAATTAAATTTATATTTATTAAATTTTTTCCTGATAAAGAGTTACCACTTGAGAGCTATAATAAGATTTTTGGTGGGAAACTCTTTTAAAATATGTTTAACTATAATATAAACGATATTTCTTCAATTACAAATTTATTATATACATACGAAAATAATATGTAATTGCACATGAAATAAAAAAAATTGAATTTATTTTTTAGATCCTGTTCATTTAAGGCGTAAACGTCAAAAGACTGGTGATGATCCTATGCAATTGTTGCTGCAACAGCAACAAAAGCAACACCAAAATGACCATCAAGATGGAAGTAAGTTTCAAGCACCTAGTGCTCTACTTCTTACGCCCATATACATAGTAACATCTTATTTACTGTAAAACGTCATTAGAAATTATTGGTGGTGGTCTTTATTCTAGTTTCGACTGTTTTTTTCATACGGAACTCATTAACTCATACCTCAAGTTGTGTACATATACTTCTTGTCATTTTCATATATGGATATTTTATTATGACTACATAAAAGTATTTACTATTTGAAACATAAAATATAAATTCTAACTTTTTATTAATTAAATATATTATAGACAGACACCCTCTTTTTACTTCTCATATAAACAGATTATTGTTTATATTATATGGTTGAAGGGATTTTCACTTGATCTTTCTGTTTTTGGTATTAGATTGAATTTTTCATGTCAATATCTTAGAAGGTTAAAGGTATACTAATATTTAAGGCTTTCAATGATGTATAAGAGTTTGATAATATAAATATAATATAAACCTGTTTAATTTGAATTTTATTGGGTTTTCTTAAGATTCTATTCTTTTAAAATATATTTTAAAATATATATTTTATTATCACCAAAACTTCGACTATAGTTTTTACTTGTATACTGAAGATAATTATAGACTATAGTTGAAATATTAGTGACAATTGTGTTTTTTTTAATCATCTGATCAATTAATCTGTTCAAAAATATATAAATAAAATTTGGTCATAATGAATTATAAAACATATAAATCATTTTCTAACGTTATATAAAACAGTAATATAGTATTACTATTTTGGACAACCGTATTCTATACAGTATTAAAATGGGTATATTGTGTGGACTATCAGTAAATTCCTAAGAGAAACTCAATGAGATTCATTGACTTCATTATAATTATAATAACAAATCAGGGAATATAATATTTTCTTAAATCTATTGTTTATTCAAGTTTTTTGTTTTTATTTCAATTTTATTTTTTAAATAATAGTATTTATTATATAAAAAAAATTATTATATATTTCTATAAAATACATCCTTTTATAATATGTATTACATATTAATTATAAATATTTATTTTCCTTCAGTTATTATTTTATAATTATCTTATCGTATTAGAATATATATTAGTTATATATATATATATATATACTTATAACTAGGCCCGTAACCAGAGTTTACTTAAAGAGAAAAGAGGCTTACAGTTAAAAACCATAAAAATTTTAAAAGTGAACTCGTAGATAATTTCACGATAAAAGATTAACTACTTGATTTGCATTTGTAACTACTGTATTCCAATGAATTGAAATTATAGTGGGGATTTCAGCTACCTGGGTCTAATCTCTGGCTACGTGCCTGCTTATAATTATAATACAACAATTTACTGCAGAGTATTGTGTCAAAATATATTAAATGGATCATGTATTTAGAGAAAATGATCCAGGCAAAAATTTTGAGAAAGGCACTTCCAATTATGTACGATATTTTGAACTCTTAAGCACATTTACAATTAAAAATATAAATTATATAAATATTAGTAAAAAATGAAATTAAGATATACGAAAATATATATTAGCTCTTTGTATTAGAAAAATTTTAGTAGATAAATTGCTAGTAGATTATTACAAAAATATATAAAATTTAAAAATTATAAATTTAAGAGATAAATTATATTAACAATTTTTAAAAGTAGTGGAAAGTAAATTCTTAAAATATTTTTAAATAAATATGGCAACATACACATATTAAATATATTTAAATATACAGAAAGTCAAAAGCTTTATGCTACGTCGTAATGTTAATTAGTTTAAATGAGACCAATGAATGCAGATTGCTACTCTGCTTTGTCGCAGTTTAGTATTAATTTAGTACTATAACTTCGGTATATTAAAAATAATTTAAAATCTAAAATTATTCTTCCTGCAATAAAATATACAATATATTATTACTAATCATTTCTTTTATCGATTCTTTATAATCATTCAATAATATTTGCCTTACTTTAAATCTCATATATAAATCTAGTATGAGATTTAGTATATTTAGAAAAAGTGCAACTTTAGAATGTTTTTAGTAAGACTATGTATACTTTTTAAGTGTCAATACTACAACAATTCTCTTGGGTTTAGTTAAATTTCACATCGGCCTCCTTATTATTGCTAATGTAACCTACATTGTCTTGATAAAATGCAAGTATAGTAAAGAATAACAAAACGTGGTCTATAATATTCTAGGATGGCGTGAGTGAAAAAAAATTAAGATTGCAATAGGAAAAATGATTAGGTAAAAATGTTGAGTCTATATAACCTGTATCGAGATGAAAGAATCGTGTTTGACTGAACTACTTTCACTTGTGTAATTAAAAAATAATAATTTATTCCACCTATTTAGTTTTAATTTCGGTTTCATAAGGACTGAAAGGAAAACCTTACAATAGCTTTAATCTCCCTTGGGCTTAGAGCAGAAGATCTTTTTTAGTATATAGTACAAAAGATTTTGTAGGTTGCGTTATACCATTGTGTCTTATACATTAATCAATCTAATTACGGTTAAGTGTGAAATTATTCTTCTTCATTTCTTAAGAGTATTTACATCTCTATGGATATTTCGATTTGTTTAAAAAATTTAATTAGCTTTATGTAATTATTAAAACGTTAGATTTGTCATAAACATACAGTATATTTAAATTATAGTTATATTTTTAATTGTAATTTCATCAACGAAAATGCAAGTTTTTAAATGATACGTATTTTTTTTTTTAAATCAATAAAGCACAGAACGTACGCAATACTTTAACAATAGTTGTCACTTGAGAGCTTTTGGAAAGGTTTTGGTACGGAATTCATCTTCGATATATTTCTATAATATGATAAATTTGAATACACTTAGTTTCTTTTATGATCCATTGTTACAGGAGCTTTTCGCTTGAGGAAGTTTTTCAAATGTTATTCTATAAACACCATTAAAGTCTCTAGTGAAGTTTTGCTTTATTGTTTTCTCCTAATAAATTTCAACCTCGCTATTATTTTTGTCATCATAGCTGAGAACGTGACGATGAAAAATATGAAATATTTTCTTCTTTTTGAAATAATACGGTTACATGAAAATTTCATACGTATTCGCAATTAATATCTATAGACACTGAAGCTATGTTGTACGTTTTCAGTATAATAATAAATATAATGAATATTTTTTCACATATAAATAATATGTAATTGTACATTAAATAAAAAAGAAAAACTTGAATTTATTTTTTAGATCCTGACCATTTAAGACGTAAACGTCAAAAGACTGGCGGTGATCCTATGCAATTGTTGCTACAACAGCAACAAAAGCAACACCAAAATGACCATCAAGATGGTAGTAAGTTTAAGCACCTGTTTCGCATCCATATATGTACATACATATACCTACCATCCTATTTAAAAATTATTGGTGTAAGATTCTCATTCGGAATTCATAAAATCATACCTCAAGTTGTATATATATTCTTCCTGTCATTTTCATATATGGACATTTTTTAATTATTTTATTAGGGCTACGTAAAATATACGCTATTCACAATTAAACATTAAGTCCAAATCTAAATTTTAACTGCTCGAATATTACGTTTACATTATGTAAAAACTTATCATAAACAAAGATCTTTCTGAACTTGTCATTAGACGAAATTACATGCCGGTATCTTGGTTAATATGCGCCATCATTGATTGTTTTCAAATTCTTCTTTATTTGTATATTCGATTTCGAAGTTATCGACCCTTAAAAAAATATGCCATAATAATATAAAAATCTATATTTAAATATTAAACAAGTATACGTATTAGTTTTGTTCAACAATCGCGTACTGTATTTCATAGCCTTCTTATATTGCCAACATCCATCGTTAATATTTCGCAACCACAATTTTAACTTCCTCTCGCTTTCTTTTTTGTCTTTTAAAATCAGTTGCAGCAGTCTACCTTCTCTGGCCCATACGTTTCTCTTCAATTTGATTCCTTAGTATGTCACCGAGGTACGTTGTCGTTCTACTTCTGATTGTTGTTGAAAGAAGTTTCTTGTTTCTATTTAATAGTCGTAGCTCCTTTACATTTGTAATGTTATGAGCTAACCGTATTTGTAGGTTTTTTCTATTTATTTAGATTTCGAAAACCTCCAACTTATTTATACTTGATATTTTCAG